TCACGGTGCGTGCAGGGAGATGTAGCGAGGACTCAATTGCAGGAGAAATGGTTATTTATTTTAATAATAAAAATGAAACAAAAACAAACTCAAACCACCCCGAGGGGGGAAAACAGACAGGCAGGCCTAAAGCTGCACCACATGCAGACACGAAACACACACAATGAGAAATGACGGATCAGCACAGGATGACAGACACCAGGAGAATAAATAGGAACCAAACGAAGAGGCTAACGAGGGAGACACAGGTGGAGCAACTTAAATATTAACGAGGTAACAAGATGGGAGGGGCAAGACAATCGACAGGAGAGAGCACATGGCAACAGACAAACACAATACAAGCCATGTGCTCCCAGAACACAGTCATCTGGTAGAACTCCTGGGCACACCCGCTGAAGACTGTGACAGGACCCCCCCCTTAGAGAAACAATAATGTACAGTATGTGGAAAATAATGTGTTTTTTGAACCTTAAACCGCATAAACACATTTCATTACACCAAATACACAAAATAATGTTCTTTTTAGCAGCATCATATGACCCCTTTAAAGTGTACGTACCCCTATTGAACATATACTTGGCATGTGCTCTTGCATTTCTGAAAACACAGTGTGTACTTGTGCAGTCATTTGCATTTATATTTTTGGCCTTATTGACACACTTAAGCATGCAGTGTGCTTCTCAAGTAAATTAACCTTCTTTTAAGGATTTTTAGATATTTTGACTGGAAAACAAAACAAAAATAATACAAGAATATATATATATATTTTTTGCTGTATATTTGTTAAGAAGCACACTGCATGCATAAGTAATACTTGTTGTCATAGATTATATCATGCAATTTGTCTTAATGCAAAGCACAAGTTTTAACTTGTTTATATTTTACTTTTATAACTTGTTTAGAAGTTAAGTGCAATAAGACAAAATACACATATTCAAGATATAATCTATGAAAATAAGTCATAATGTCTTATACCACAAACCCATACATGATTGCATCCTAGCATGCTCCAGGGGCTAATGGGCTCATCCAGGACATAATTTAATAGGTCCTTAGGTCCTTCATCATTGTAGCCCAGCCCCTCTGCCGTATTCCTGAAGTCCATGGCAAACTCCCTCAGCTCGGTCCCTTGTTGGCGGAGGGAGCTCAGGGTCTCCAGCTGGAGCATGTGCTGGTAGAGGGGGCTGGAGAGAATAGAGACCGGTAGTCGGTGTGAGCCCATTCTCCGCTGAGTCCCCATGTTGGCTGATCCGTTCTGTCACGGTGCGTGCAGGGAGATGAAGCGAGGACTCAATTGCAGGAGAAATGGTTATTTATTTTAATAATAAAAATGAAACAAAAACAAACTCAAACCACCCCGAGGGGGAAAAACAGACAGGCAGGCCTAAAGCTGCACCACATGCAGACACGAAACACACACAATGATAAATGACGGATCAGCACAGGATGACAGACACCAGGAGAATCAATAGGAAACCAAACGAGGAGGCTAACGAGGGAGACACAGGCGGAGCAACTTAAACAATAACGAGGTAACAAGATGGGAGTGGCCAGACAATAGACAGGAGAGAGCACATGGCAACAGACAAACACAACACAAGCCATGTGCTCCCAGAACACAGTCATCTGGTGGCCCTCCTGGGCACACCCGCTGAAGACTGTGACAGGCGGGGCATAGAGGAGAAACAATAATGTACAGTATGTGGAAAATAATGTGTTTTTTGAACCTTAAACCGCATAAACACATTTCATTACACCAAATACACAAAATAATGTTCTTTTTAGCAGCATCATATGACCCCTTTAAAGTGTACGTACCCCTATTGAACATATACTTGGCATGTGCTCTTGCATTTCTGAAAACACAGTGTGTACTTGTGCAGTCATTTGCATTTATATTTTTGGCCTTATTGACACACTTAAGCATGCAGTGTGCTTCTCAAGTAAATTAACCTTCTTTTAAGGATTTTTAGATATTTTGACTGGAAAACAAAACAAAAATAATACAAGAATATATATATATATTTTTTGCTGTATATTTTCTGCCGACAGTCATCTGCTTCAACTAAAGAATCTCCTCTCACCTCCCTTTCTGTTCCCCACCCACCTCTCAAGCTCCGCTTATGCAACCAGCTTTCTGTAATCATCTGTTTTCTCTGCCAGTAATGGGAGCTGAACCTAGCACAAAGCTGGCCCCAGATGTGACAAATGCCCCAACCCTGAATTTCCCCTTTTCTGTCCTGCTGTCTGCTTTCTATTCTCCAGATATCTCGGCCTCCACAAGTGGCAATGGCCCAACTCCTTTTCCTTTATACTGTACTTTGCTGCAGAATTGCTCTTTTTAAATAGAAGTGCTCTGTTCACAGCCAGCCATGATTTACTTATTCCACTAGCAAAAGTGTCTGGTAATAGATGCGTTACTGAGATGGTCATGTGATCTCAACATGTCTGCCCCAATCACTAACAAACAAACAAATAACAAATAAATAAAAAACAGGAAAACACAAATGTACTCAATCATATGAGTTGTGATCTACACAACAAACTTGTATTTCTGTTCTAAACTTCTGATTTCTTTGCTTAAAGGTGACATATCATGAAATTCAGATTATTCCAGGTTTTAAGTGCTATAATCAGGTCCATGGTGCATCTACCAACCAAGGAAACGTGAAAAAGATTCATGCTGTAAATTTGTTTTGGAAAGCCTTTTTCTGCAAGCGTCTGAGAAAAACAAGCGTGTCTGATTTCGCTCCCTTGGTGACGTGGCAAAGGGACCTCATTATAATATTACCGCCCCTTAATCTGTACGTTTACACCCACGGCGCCCTCATTTTGATTTCACAAGCGACAACTGCGTAATGCCATAGTGAAAGTTTGAGCAAAACATACTAACTGTTCTGTCATTGGCTGCACAGACGAGCTATTGCACACTATTTAGAGTCCCAGCCGACAGGACCCCCCCCTTAAGGAGCGGATTCCAGACGCTCCACCAAGAGCAATCCCGGAGGGAGGCGGAACGGAGGTGGATCAGGGGGAGAGATGGAGCTTGGACGGTGCCGGCAGGGCAAGGAGCCTGGGCGGTGCCGGCAGGGCACCAGGCTCTAGGGAGGCCTCCCGGCCTTGAAGGACGGAAGAAGCCTTCTTCCTCCTCCTCTGTTTCCGAGAGGGTGGCACTGCAGCTTCCATATCACTGCAACCTCTTCGGCCACCACCGGGAGCGCTGCAGTTTCATCAGCCACCTCTGGGGGCGCTGCAGCTTCGTCAGCCACCTTTGGGGGCGCTGCAGCCTCTTCGGCCACCTCTAGGGGTGGCGAGGCGGACCCATTCTTCCTCTTCCCCCTCCTCCGTTTCCGAGAGTGTGGCACTGCAGCTTCATCTGCCGCCTCCGAGGGCGCTGCAACCTCTTCGGCCGCCACAGGGGGCGCTGCAGCCCTGTCGGCCATCACGGGAGGCGCTGTAGCCTCCTTAGCTGAAGAACGTGCCAGGAACTCCACAAACCCCTCAAAAGATACATGATTGCATCCTAGCATGCTCCAGGGGCTAATGGGCTCATCCAGGACATAATTTAATAGGTCCTTCAGCGCAGCATCATTGTAGCCCAGCCCCTCTGCCGTATTCCTGAAGTCCATGGCAAACTCCCTCAGCTCGGTCCCTTGTTGGCGGAGGGAGCTCAGGGTCTCCAGCTGGAGCATGTGCTGGTAGAGGGGGCTGGAGAGAATAGAGACCGGTAGTCGGGGTGAGCCCATTCTCCGCTGAGTCCCCATGTTGGCTGATCCGTTCTGTCACGGGGCGTGCAGGGAGATGAAGCGAGGACTCAATTGCAGGAGAAATGGTTATTTATTTTAATAATAAAAATGAAACAAAAACAAACTCAAACCACCCCGAGGGGGAAAACAGGCAGGCATGGCAACAGACAAACACAACACTAGCCATGTGCTCCCAGAACACAGTCATCTGGTGGCCCTCCTGGGCACACCCGCTGAAGACTGTGACAGGACCCCCCCCTTAAGGAGCTAATTTCCTATTAATTCATGAGAATGTATGGAAATACTGGGGAATACCAATATGGTGGCACAGTGGCTTCACTTTTATCCAGTTCTCTATTATATCTGAGATCAGTGGTCCAGTCATATCTCTCGGTCCGAAGGCTATGACAGGCTGTCCTACCTGCCTGTCAGCGTATGTATTTGCATACATACATTGTACGTGCAAAAAAAAAAACTATTTTTTAAAACTGCTATTAATTTTTTTATATTTAATGCTTTTTTAATAAGTAAAAAATCACAGAGTTCACCTTTAAGACATCTGTTTTTAATGTGCTGAGCAGCAAGTCGCAGAGCTGAATCTGTCTGGCTGGTTGTTCAGTGCAGTGGGGCATTTGCCAAGTCTCTGCTCCTACATCTCCCACCCAAATCATACAGCATTGGGAACTGTAGGAGGTAAAAGCAAAATACCTTAAGCAACCTCATGTATGGTGTTTCAGTAGCCTTGGATATGAATTAGACGACCATGATTAAAGCCCTTGTGCAAAATGTGTCTGATGGTGCATTCACAGACTTTGTGTGGAATGGGATACTAGTGTTCTGCTTAATACTGCACTATAGTACATCTAATTTTCCCCCATTTCCTAATAATTTACACAGTGGTAGAACATTTTATTTATTTATTTAATCAATTTTAGTTTATCCAATGTTCTTTGATTCTTGCAAGAATCTTATTGAAGCCCTTTACGACTGATTCCAAAGAAAACCTATTAGCTTTCCTTTTAGACTTTTATGTTGTAATTAGATTAATTTAAAAAGCAATATGTCAGTGGAAGACCACAGTATAAAACAAAAAAACTGAGAGAGAGAGAGAGAGAGAGAGAGAGAGAGAGAGAGAGACTGTAATACATGTAGTGCTGGAGGAGGCGGGGCATCGTGCCTTTTGTTGATGCTGCTGCATGAGACTACATTCACTTCTGCCTGTGGGATGCTGTGAGAGACTCTTTACAACACTGAAACCTACATCACCTAGAGCTTTTCTATTCATTACTGCAATTTATAGGAACTTTCATAGGAACATGGGAATTTGGGAATATACTCTTTATTTTTCTACAACAACCTGCCTATGGAGTGGTAAGAAACCTAATGGACATTTGATTATGAAACACCCGTGAGCATTGTTGAATTATTGGCTCTATTTAAGTTATTTTAAGTCAAACTGTTTAATAATAGTTTCTGCTTACTTGTAAGATTGGTGTTACATGTCTGCTGTAACACACTGTCGACATGTAACACAATCTGTAAAATTGCTGTTTTGGTTTGAGGCTTGTTTATATGAGGATACAGGCCAGAATGGCAATTGGGGTTAATAGGTAAGGACAATATTTTCCTGAGTCTGATCAAATATAAAGTTATGGCTTTATGGTGGCAGTTTACATTTGCAGATGTATGTATATCCTATATAATGTTGCTTGAATCTGCTTTGCTCTCAGTCAGTTTATCTTAATTTTTCTATTTACTCTGGTTTTTATAACTAGACTGCACTTTGAAGATGTGGTTACACTGGATGCGTTTTCTTTGTGTACAGTAAAATGTCTCTGCTACTGGCAAGGGAGTCCAGCTCTCAGGTTTCTTTGTTAGACACTCATGAATCACAGGTGCCTTTTTGAATAAAGAAGAGGCCTGGTGTAATCTAGAGGATTGATTATGAATGGATGTGATCTTAAGGGAATTACACTGGGGAAAATATCTCTTTTATTATCCAGCTAGATGAGAGTGGGCACTGATTGAAATTTGGGAAAGAAGCTAGAGTTACCTATGATTTGCTTTTTACTTACAAAATGTACTTTAACATTTTAAACATAATCTTCACGAAGTATATCAAAGATCTCTATGCTGTTTGCTGTCCAAATTTGGCAAATGTTAAAAATAGTTCAAACAGGGAGTTAGATCCATACTTAAGGAAAGTGGTTGAGTCCAATCAGTCAGACTTCCTGGTGGAGATTTAATCACTGAAACCCAGCAGAAAAGCTTTGATGAGAGTTTCAGATCAATACACGTACATCCAAATGAGCTGGAACAGCTGCCTCTGTTGATTTGCAAGCGTTCTCCTGAATATCTCATTCACTTCACGCTGCAAACCTCTTCTGGAAGCAGTTCGCAGTGCACAATGACTCTAGGTGAAACTCTGCAACCGTGTCACATTGTTCATTCTCTGACAGTGTCACTTCAGGGAGAGCAGCAGAGGAGACTCTACAGAGACTTGATGAAAGACTATAACCCACTGGAGAGACCTGTGTTCAATGACACACACTCACTCACTGTGTATTTCAGCTTCAGTCTCATGCAGATTATGGATGTGGTAAGTTAATTAATTCAATAATAAAATAATAATAAAACACTGAATAAACCCTGACAAAGTGTGTAAATTTGTTTCACTAGCAGGTTATACCATATCACTATAGTCTCTAGTCTTTTTCACCAAAATAAAACAATAAAAATTCCACAGATTGTTACCAAAAAATTATTTTCCAAATAATGCTCTGTTCATGTTGAATTCCACCAAGATTACAGTAGCTGCAGGTACTGTGCATGTTTAATGTTTTGGAAACATGCATAGTCACACTTTACATTAAACTAGGATAAGGGAAAATAGTTTAAAATAAAATGTGGAAGTGAGGTCAGGTAGAGATGTAGCGACATCAAAGCAAGTATCACAAGCTTTTGAAGATGGCAACATACACATTTTGGAAGGACAGATCATGTGTCACAGTTCATTCAGCAATAGACCTTGAAGGGTAAACGCCATACAAAATTTTACGCCGATGAAAATGAAGCTGTGAGGGATAGACTTACAGTCTATACAACTGGACAAAAGTCTAAATGAGTTTTTGTCTATACTGAAAGATTTTTGGGGAAAAAATTCATCCGCTGAAAAACTGCATATATATGTTCTGCATAGATATATGTCCTGATAGATGTGAAGAAAATCATAAGACTGCCTCGAATTATTCATGTTGTATACTTTGTTTCCTCGTGAAAAAGTAGTGCACTTAACTGTATTGAACATGCACATGTACTGTACCTCAAATCTAAGTACTTACAGATAATATAATATTAATGAAATAAAATATCACTTAAGTGTACTAAATGAGAGTTTATGGGACCCACTTTATATTAAGCCTCCTTGATAAGTGATACAATGCACTATTTGTGTGCATACATGTTTTTACATTTTACTTATATTTGAACATACCATCCTGTAATTGCATCTGTAATTACTTTCTGTAGTTACACCTGTAATTACACTGTTGACCCTCCCTCTACCCTTTAAACCTAACAATACCTCCTAACCTGCCCCTAACCTTACCCGTATCCCGCTTCAATAGTAGCAAAAGTATTTAGCAATTCAACATTAACACAATAGGTGCATTGTACCTAACAATTCATTATTTTATCATTAAGTGCATAGTATTTAAAGACACCTAATATAAAGTGGGACCAGTTTAAGACACACTTAAGTACACTTTAAAAAGTGCATATTGTAATAATGTCAAATGAAAAGTTTTCTTCGTGTTTTAAAGAAGTACATTTATTTTTATATGTTGAGTGACATATTAAAGCACATGTAAAGTATTTGATCTCATTGTAGTGTGTTATTCTGTATTTCATTTGAAGTCAATATTTAAAAAAAAAATACTAAATTGCAACTTCATCATGACAAATGTGTAATTGCAAATATATTTAAGTGCATGACACAAGTTTTAACAGAAATGACATTACATTAATGAATGTCAGTACATTCAGCAGTACACTTTAACGATATTTCAAAGGTAATAGAAGTTACATACGTATAAAGATGTACTTAAGTCATGCTTAAGAGGGTCAGAAAGCAATCTAAAGTTCAATAATACATTTTCATTCAATTGCGGTTAGCATGCAGTTAGGTGTCCTCTTTTTAAAAGCACCGTTTTTAAAAGTATGCTTATGTGTATTCTTACCCCTTGTGTTTTAATGTAAAATATGGTTTTAAACCATTTTTTGAAAGTAGTTCTTTAATCAGATTTTCAGTTTTCATAAGAGCATCTTTGTCCATCTACAGGATGAGAAGAATCAAGTACTTACAACCAACATTTGGTTACAGCTGGTAAGAAAGACACCAACACTTATCACTGTCTGACAGACTGCTCATTGGTCATGTTCCTTTAATGTGACGTGTAGAAGACCTCTCTGTGGATCTGTTATTAATAGCTGAATGTTAATAACTGTGAAAATAATGCAATTGATTTGTCTCTGCTTCCATGACAGTCCTTCAAATGTTGTCCTTGGTCAATGCTGTACACCACCAAGTGTGTCTATGAATCTGAAAACCTTATTAACTGCATTTAAATATCTCAGCAGTCTATCAGTAAATATACATTGCATCTAATTTACATTTATTAGATTTTGCCCCATAAAAAAAATCTTAACAGAATTTAAATTGAATTATGAATTATAATTAATGTTTCATGTATGCAGCTTCATAACATTTCTGCCCTAAGAAATTATTTTTTGTGCATGCGTAGAAAAGCTCTTTATAGATTATGATGAGTATGTGATATATCTAACGCTTAAAGAAGACCATGCAGAGACTCAGGTTCTGATTCAAGTTAATGTCATGCCTAATTCAGTTTGCACCAAGCATATATTTTTAAGTATAAATTTCCATGTTGTTCCAAATTGACAATGATGAAGTGAACTTCTCTTTATTTTAGTACTGGTATGACTACTATCTTCAGTGGAACACTTCTGGATATCCTGGAGTGGCGAGTGTACGATTTCCTGACAGTCAGATCTGGAAGCCTGACATCTTACTGTATAACAGGTTTGTTACGTTCACACAGAGTTATTGATAAACTCATATGTATAATTGGCTTATCAAAAGTTCCATAGAAACCAAACACAGCTTTAGAAGTTTAAACCCTGTTTGTGAACGATTTCTTGGGAGTTGGTAAATTGTCTGGGAAAAAGTGCTGGTAACAGTGCATGGACACTGAGTTTACGCTACACCATGGAAAAAAAGGTTTGGCCTCATTTGTCACTGTCTACTGGAAAAGCAGTAGTAGATGGTAAAGAATTAGCTTCAAGAGAATCTGCCACAGGAAATGAAGAGTTTGTCACTATGTTGAGGTCAAATGAATCAAGTCAGTGAATCACTAAATGGAAGCTAAAATGGAATCAATTGTGAGGTTATATGTCCAGTGGTATAAAATTGCAATTTCATTTTATTTTCTGAAAAAGCGTTAATTTTGTTAGTGAACATCTTGGTTATGTTGGTTTAGCATCCTGGACCACTGTGGTCTTTCCCTTGGGGATTTCTGAGAGTGAATTCTTTATTCTCGAACATACCTCCATTATCTGAATGAGAAGTCATTTAAACACATTTACATAATTGGAACATAAATCTGAACATGGCACAAGGCAGTTTTGGTTTGTCATTTCCTTGAAATCCAGTGATTACTGCCCAGCCATTAGTGGTGCAAAATAAGTCAGTGTAGATGAAATGCATTAACTTTATATTGGACTAATCGGAAGTATTTCTAAGTGTTCCTCTGAGATGTTCATAAATCACCGTTGTATTCTTTTTAGTTAAAATTATTCTTATGTTCTCCACAGTGCTGATGAAAGGTTTGATGCCACATTTCATACTAATGTGCTGGTGAATTCCTCTGGTGCCTGCCAATACCTACCGCCAGGTACTTATATTTTATACGTTTATAATGCTACAAGTAATTTTTCCCACTTGATCTAGAAAGGGGAAGATTACTATAGAAGCCTTTTTCAGCTCAGAGTGAAAAATAAAATATGAAAATAAGGAATAAATCACTCAACTAAAGGTGCGTTCAAGTCATGTCGGATAGATCATATTTACGAGTTGAACGCACATGAACGCCACCACAAAGTCGTTATTAAGAATGGGAAACTCAAAATTTTGTTTAAGCCCCGAGTTTCCGAGTTGTGGGCATGTCAATGAGAAACATGACGGAATCGATGGATGCAACTGCAGTTGACAGTAAATTTTTGTTTAAATTGATAGTTTAGTTGTCCTATAAACGTAAATTGGTCATGTTCTTGTTACGCAGCTAGTTAATGAAATCCAAGTTAAAAAATGCTATAATTTTTGCACCTATAGGTGAAAAATCTTTTGATTTGCCATGTTGCATGTTTTAAAAATATTAAAAACGCAAAACACACCTGATGCGAATCCTTTGCTCTTCATTTTCTATAAGCAGAGTTAACAGACCCTGTTGTATTTTCTTGTAATTTATTAAAATTAGGTACACCAACATCTTGTGCCGACTAAACTGACTTGAACGCACCTGACGTCGCAATTACGACTTGTCAACTCGTAAGTACGAACGTCCCAGGAGGACTTGAACACAGCATAAGTCACGGTTGGGAGATAAAATATAAACTTTATAAATTCACAATTACAAAAAAGAAAGTCAGAATTACCTGGTAAAAGCAACCAAGTTGAGATGTACTTCACTGCTCACTTTATCTCGATAAATGCCTAATTATAAGACACTATTGGTTGTGGAAGTAAAATTTATATTGCTGACAAATAAGATATTTATGCAATGGTGTGACAAACTAAAAAGCTTTCCTTTGGCAAGATGTTGCATCAGTGTCAATAAGTATCAGTACAATCCAAACCACTTTTGTATGGGCCTGCAACATTAAAACTAATTTGCATACTGCTATAAGTCACGGTTGGGAGATAAAATATAAACTTTATAAATTCACAATTACAAAAAAGAAAGTCAGAATTACCTGGTAAAAGCAGCCAAGTTGAAATGTACTTCACTGCCCCCTTTTTTCTCTCGATAAATGCCTAATTATAAGACATTGGTTGTGGAAGTAAAATTTATATTGCTGACAAATAAGATATTTATGCAATGGTGTGACAAACTAAAAAGCTTTCCTTTGGCAAGATGTTGCATCAGTGTCAATAAGTATCAGTACAATCCAAACCACTTTTGTATGGGCCTGCAACATTAAAACTAATTTGCATACTGCACCTTCAAATTCATTTCTATTATGCGAAATCAACAAATAGGATTTTATGCTAATATGGAAAGCCAAATATACTTATTACTTATAGGTCTAAAGAGTTGCCTTATTGACAAACTATTTGATGTGAATGGAGATTTCCCTGTGCAGCATTCACCTCTACTACATAATTTACTTTTCACCTCTTGTTTCTTGCTGTGAAAGCTGAACCAGCATCTATCCTGAGATAAACATTTGATTCATGAGTGGATGTAGTCCTGGCAGTGAGTTTGCACTAAATTATTTTTGTAGTGACATTGAAGAGATTGCCTTCTCTTGAACCTTCATAAAGCATTGTCAGAAGCCTAGTTATGCTTTATGGCAAAAGATAGCAATTAAGCATAGAGGGAAGATGATGTATTAAGCAATCAACAGTCTGAGCTATATTACATGCGTATGTCTTTACTGGCACCTTCAATTTATGATCGTCTCATTGAATGGTTCCCCAGATGTTCATTTTCATCACCATTATGGTTTATAGAAATTGAATTTTTAAAATTCTCTTATATGATGAAGTAATAGTACTAATAATTGTGATGATTAATGTTAAGTATTTATATAGTTATTGTTATGACTTTAAGGGCTCTCAGATGTGGTGCTGAAAAATCTGTTTTATTACCCTCCTGTGAAAATGTTCCATATCAGTCAGTTCATTTCTGTTCACAGGGATATTCAAAAGCACCTGCTACATCGATGTCCGCTGGTTCCCCTTTGATCTTCAGAGGTGTGATTTGAAATTTGGCTCCTGGACGTATGGGGGATGGTCTCTGGACCTGCAGATGATTGATGCTGACATCACAGGATATATTGCAAATGGAGAGTGGGACCTTGTGGGTAGGGTTAATTTAATGTGCATTGTTAAGCCTTATGCTGTGCTGAAAATTCTTTACCTAATTTGGTGTTCTTGGTCAAAAATAACCCGCCTTTTGAAAATTGCTTGTAAATCACTCATAACGCTATATTATAACCAAATCTTTTATTAAATCTTTTTGTCAACTTGTTTCTTTCAATTCTTTCAAAAAGCTTATGCACCTTGGTTTTTGAGAGGGGGAAAAACGCATTATTTCTGGATCATTTTAATAAATTAATTTAATTTTAATTAGTCAAATTGTTAGCTTTACTTTAAAATACATTAATTTGATGTGACTAACATATAAAGTATGATTAACTGTAGTGCGGTATTCAATATTATGTTTAATATATTTAAATCCACTAATGAATACATGTAGAAATTACATGCTTGTCATTCAGCAGTATTCTATAACCCTTCTTCAAAGACAATATACGTAATTATGAAATTACATATAAAGATGTAGTTAAGTCCTTCTTAAGTGGGTTAAGAAATAAATCAAGAAAGTTCAGCTGCATTTAATTGAAATAAACCATATTTAATTTTAATTGAAATTAAATTAACATCCAATTATGTGCCAGAAAACATTATGCACAACTTGCACTTAAGTATAGCCCTATCATTTCAATAAGTACTTTAGCATAAAGTATGTTTACATTGATTTAAGCAACCCTTTTTCACAAGGGTTATCAGGCTCAATATTTCAACTTTTATGATAAAAAAAAATCAAAGTGATCTGTTTTTTAAGATTTTTATTTTACAAAAGGTATGATAAATATGACAATATTGCATTTGCTAGTTATTATACATAACATATCATTTTTGTACTCACCTTCAACAATGTGAATGTACAGTAATGGCGTTCAGTGGTCATTGCACAAAACGTTAATTTTCTAACGTTGCCAGTTATATGTTACTCAGAGGTTCCAGGTCGAAGGAATGAGAGATTCTATGACTGCTGCAAGGAGCCGTACCCAGATGTGACTTTCACGGTGGTGATGCGGAGACGGACGCTATACTATGGTCTAAACCTGCTTATTCCCTGTGTGCTCATCTCTACTCTGGCCCTGCTGGTCTTCCTCTTGCCTGCTGACTCAGGCGAGAAGATCTCTCTTGGTGAGCTAAACACTCAATGCCTTTGTCATCATTTAAAATTTTTAATTTTAGATGTGACTTTAAAGTGATGTCATTGTTTCAATGTAATTTTTATGTTAATAGTGAATTGTACTCACTCAAGTGAGCATTTACATATCTGCATTTAGTTTGAAACGTCATGTTTTCTTCAACTTCCGGTCTAAACCTGCTTATTCCCTGTGTGCTCATCTCTACTCTGGCCCTGCTGGTCTTCCTCTTGCCTGCTGACTCAGGCGAGAAGATCTCTCTTGGTGAGCTAAACACTCAATGCCTTTGTCATCATTTTAAATTTTTAATTTTAGATGTGACTTTAAAGTGATGTCATTGTTTCGATGTAATTTTTATGTTAATAGTGAATTGTACTCACTCAAGTGAGCATTTACATATCTGCATTTAGTTTGAAACGTCATGTTTTCTTCAACTTCCTTGCCTAGAATTGTCTCCGTCAAGGAAACAGACAAGACATTGAAAGAAATTATACACTACACATTTAAAAGGGTTTATTATGGGAGCTAAGCATAACTGGCCTCTGTCATAACCAGAAGTGCATAAATGTCACTTTTGCCATTTTAAAAATCATTAATTTTATTTCTCACATTGGCAAAACTCTCTATCCTTTTTTTCTTTTTGCTGACTTAGTGAAATATTCACATTTAAACAGACATCATATAAAACTCACTTTGGCACAGGCACACAATGTATGCTGACATCCCTGTACTGTAAGTGACGTGTAGTGAGATTGATGGATTGCCAAAGATCGCTTCATTGATTAATGCAGTTGGAGAGCTCTGAAGGCCAAATGCCTCTATTTATCTGGTCTGCTGGATTTAGAGGATGCCGTCACAGTGAAGGAATGCTCTGGAAGAGACTGAACCTGAAATCACAGCAGAACACAATTTATTCTATTTTTTCATTTTGTCACTCCTTAATGGTATTAGTGTGATGAGGCTGCCAACATTACTTTCCACAGAGTGAGTCATTGGCTGCTGCTCTGTGAGTTACTCAAGATCAATATTCTAAATACCAGCAATTAGCCAACTGTATATGATACAGTACATTTAAGTTCCATTTTATATACTGTAGCTCTGCTTTTTTTTTGGACAGTGACCACATATTAGATGGATAGATTTCATAGAAATATACTGATTAAGTTTGCACTGGTTGTTGGAAACTGACATACTATATTTACTTCAGTCATGAAACTATAGATGGCTTGGGCTGGTAGGTCCTTTACATGCAATCTGCTAGTAATCACATAATTTACTGTGGTGGTGCACAAGCAGATTGGCCTCTGCTGATTCAATAGCCAATAAGCTTGCTTGCTCACCATTTAAATAGTTTGGTTCAGTGTTCGCTGTGAGCTGGTCTTTCAGAGTTCCTCTGAATCCCTCCACCTCCTCCAGCTCCAACTGTCTTGATCTGCTACGTGATTTATGTGTGCCTTTATTCATGCAGCAGCAGCAGCAGCATATCTTACATGCTCACAGCAGTGTATCTGTGTATCTATTGGCAGAAGCAAGTCCATGCTAAAACTATTAAGAGTTGTCACGATTGAAATGGCTCTTGCAACAACAAGCCTCGGTTTCCTCTTTATCTGTTTAAAGCTTTATGGTTTCATATGAAAATGTGTTTGTAATATATGTTTTTATTGTCAGGGATCACAGTCCTGCTCTCACTGACAGTTTTCATGCTTCTGGTAGCAGAGATAATGCCGGCAACATCAGACTCTGTGCCTTTAATAGGTAAGTCCAACTTAAGATGTACATGATGTCAGATGTGTGATCGACTCTATTGAATAAACTGATATGTTCTAATAATTTGGTCAAACCACTTTGCATAGCCTTATAAATCACTGTAAAGGAGAACTTTTATAGTAAAACTTCAAAGACAATCGGGAACACTTATGACAGCTGATTCTAATAACTTATCTGAATTAGTAATTGACACAATCCATCTGAATAAAGTCAGTAAAATGAACTTTGCAACATTACTGACCTGCCCTATAAAGTTGCGATACTTTAAACCCTTGTTAAACAGAAGTTCACTTAATTGTATTAAATGTGTACTTGTACTTAAAATCTTAAAAGTATATTTTCTAAAAACTGTATTTGCAGATAATATAGTATTAATAAAATAAAAGGCCACTTAAGTGTACTTTTCATGAGTGTTTCTTAACACGCTTTAAAAAATGCACTTTGTATTTGTCAAATTAAACATTTTAAAGTAAATTTTAATTTGTTTTAATAATCGTTTGTTGTGCTTTAAAGTACACTTTTTTATGTTGACTAACATACTAAGCACATGTAAAGTACTTGATTATCATTTCAACTGTAGCACGTTATTCAACGTTAAGTCCTACTTAAGTGGGTTCGAGTTTAGCTAACTGCATTTAATATAAATCATAGCTATAATATATTTTTATTTAATTGCAATTAACATGCAGATAATAATATGTAAATATTGTATTCAGTTCACACTTAAGTATATTCTTTTATATATTATTTCAGTATTTTTTTATATATATATATGCTAAAGTGTGTATCAATTGGTGAAAACATAAATGTGTCCATTACAAAAAATACTGTGGGGGGAACATAGTACAGAAATGGTGTCAGATGACAATCAGGTAGTACTTTAAGTTGAATTCATGTATCATGCTATTAATATGGTACTCCAAAGAACTTTCAAGATTTTAAAGGATATACAGTACCATGGTTAATTTCTGAAATATCATAATAGTACCTGTCTGCATTCAGAAGGGAAATGTCCAACACAACTGTTGCCCCATTGTAAGTGCATTTCTGTCAACATGTGTTTGTTTGTTTTACAAACTGTGGTATTTAAAATACATTTGTGGTAATCGACAGATATTGTCAACAGATTTTAGTTTCAATTATTTGTTTTTAGTAGGATTTTCTCTAGGTTGTTAAATGTAATTCTGTCTATCCTTTGATTAGCTCAGTATTTTGCCACCACCATGTTTATTGTTGGCCTGTCTGTGATAGCCACAGTCTGGGTATTACAATACCACTACCATGATCCGGATGGAGGAAAAATGCCAAAATGGGTGAGGCTCTCATTGCTGCTTTTATTTCTGCTTACCATATAAATCCACCTGTCTTCATTTAGATGTATTATGGTTAATTCCATGTTTGTGTTTGGACAACAGTATTATTTAATAGCTAATTTTTCTGTCAGACCCGTGTGGTGCTGTTGAACTGGTGTGCATGGTTCCTGAGGATGAAGAGGCCTGGTGAGGACAGAGTTCGCTCAGCGTGTCACAATAAGCAGCTGCGCAGCAGCCTCTCCAGCGTGGATCTGAACATCAGCACCGGAGCCGCGCAGTCCACCAATGGAAACCTGCTGTACATCGGCTTTCGTGGAATGGACGCTATTCACTATGCCACTTCACCCGATTCGGGGGTGATCTGCAGCCGGCTCGTCGCCACAGGTGAGGAGGATGTG